GATGGGCTTATTTTACTTAGCCGTGAAACGTGATCGACGATTATCTTAATCCGTGATTCGTGATCGTAAGACTTCCAGTCTTTTTACGTGCACGTGAAAGAAAGATTCAATTTAACCGTGACCCGTGAATGGCAGATAGAAATATGCGTGATTCGTGAATCATCTGTTTTGCGACCTTTTGTGTGATCATCTTTCCAAGGAATAAATACGGTTTGTTGCTGTTTTTTAAGTACTTGATGTACAGGATCCTGTTTTCGACATAGTTGGAAGTTTGAAAGCATGTCGAGGTAAGTACAGAAGAGTACAATGATTCTACAATTAAGGAAGACATCCTATAATAATTCGTGAATCGTGATCGCTTCGATTTTTCCGTGAACGCGAAGGAATTTTTTCAATTTTTCTTGACTCGTGAAAAGGCAAAATAGTTTTACGTGAAAGCATATTGTCAAGAGGTATAGGGGGGCCTCTGTTGGGCTGTTTGATTTTTTGAATTACCCGCAACGACTCAATAGATCACATTTTCAATATATCTATTCACCTGCCAAGCCAAGGGTTAAGCTCATTCATTCATTCATTCATTCATTATTTAATAAAATATCATGGCGACAAAAGGCGAATTGCGATATTCGGCAATATATATATAGTAAATTAGAATTACAATAGATTATAGGACAGCACATTATACTATATTATAGTATTGAATTGTGTCTAAAATGTACCATGTTCCAAGAATATCTGACGTGATATGCAGAACGACGTTCGCTCAATAGAGAGCATCCAGATAGCACCAAAGCTTCATCGGTAATGATTTTCTGGAATAGAATTTGGAAAGCTCGCTTCTGAACCTTTTCTACTTCGTCGGAGAGGAACGCTGGAATCGTGGTGTTCCACAGCGGAGCACAATACTCCAAAACAGAGCGCACAAGGGATTTATACGCAGTTAGGAGTTCACTGAGTAAAGATTTTTAAGCATTTGGAAACATTATTAAGTGGCAAAGTTAGCCAATGCAACAGTTCATGCTATGCAAAATTTCGATGTGATTTGCAAATGTTTATATAATTCAGTAATATAGCATGCATGCTTTGCCACCGCTGTGTTCACCCTGCATGCCTTGATATTACGTAATATGTAGATTCACTTCATTTACACGCCTTCTTTCTAGAAAGAATTCCCTAATTCTCCTTATTTTTTCCCTCTTTCTAACTGTATCAAATTAAATTTGTTTGCCAATGTCCTTTTAAAATGACCACCTATAGCTCTTGAACTAATCACACCGACATGCAGTGAATAACGTGAATCAATCTCTTTATCTAAATTCAAAGGTGCAGGAGCTCGTGTTGGGATTTGACCTTTGACCTAATGCAAGTGAGGCTTTTGCTACCAATGATGCAAGTTTACTAACTATACAGTTTTTGTTTCAATTAAAATACTATAGTTTTTAAAACTATAGTTTTTGGCTAAAAAACAATAGTTTATATTAGTAAGGGAATACATATAATTAATTGTAACGTATACATGCATTATCAGTGTAGCACTGAAATTTCTGATATAATATAGTAAAGTAAAAAGCAAATTCCGAAAATACAGGACATCTTGAGAATTCAATATATAATTCAAAACAAGACGCAGTTTGAGACTGTAAATTTTCGACTTTATTTGAATAAAGTCGAAAATTTACAGTCTCAAACTGCGTCTTGTTTTGAATTATATATTGAATTCTCAAGATGTCCTGTATTTTCGGAATTTGCTTTTTACTTTATTTTTTTAAATTGTCGGCTGGTCATGGTTTTTCTGATATAGTGTTCATGCATTTTGGCACGGTATAGCCTACAATTTAGTCCGACTTCTAAATCATTTGCCGAACTCGGTGCCGTATTTAATTAATAAACCAGGCCTAAGAATCGAGTGTCTTCAAATTCAAATCGAATTGTAACAAGATCGTATTTCGTCTTGTCTACATATATAGTCTAGCCTGCGAACTGAACAGCCGCCGTCGATTGACTCGATTGTCTCACCCCTCGAGGAACGAGAGTCTGCTTAATTAAATAAGCCAAAATTTAAGTTCCACACTGATGTTATACAGTATATAATACATAATAATGTCAGTTCATTAATTAAACAGATATCATATCAATATTTATTTAGTATTCACAGGTGTCATGTCGATCTTTAGAAAATGTCGAGGTCAATGGCAATGCCGAACTGAAACAGACATAGACCATAAGTCACCATATATATTATTCAGAACTGCATGGGGTTATCGCGTTTGTCTTCGAAATCATGCAAACAAGGACTGGTGCCGGTGGTCTTAGCTAGTCTTGCTGTTTAGGTAAAAAACAATTTTGATTTAGTTGTTTTGATGCAGTCAAACAGAGAGTCACTTCATTTTGGTTTCAAACAACAGCTATACCTTAGAAGAGACTTCGTTTTAACCGGCCTTGTACTTTATTAATTTTTAACTATTCTATTTCCAACATATAATGCCATGTGTTTAGACAAGAACACATCACTGAATATATGAATCACTCATGACCAGCATATCTGTAGTTATAGGCCTAAATCATGTGCAATTCCCACTTTCCTATACTCTGTACATTGATACTGTAACACACATATTGCCGTATATGCGTTGCGGATCCAGCGTTGTGATTAACGCTAGGCAATATAAAATAGACAAAATATTGCTACCTAACGAATTAATAGTGGTTTGGCTACGGCATGCAGCGCATGAGCATGTATGCCTACTATGCAGTATTAGAATATATATTGTTGGCTATTGTTTTTACCCCAGTTCCCCAATGGTATATTTTAGCATGCATGTTTAAATCTCTATAGTTGTGCAAGTATATAAATAAGACTTGGCAATTATTTAGGCCTACAAACTGGGTTAGAATGCGTGAGTTAAGATATCCTGGTCGGCATTGGCATGCAGAGTAGAATTGTCATTACGCAAACGATAAAAAATTTTGAAACCTATATAGAGTCTCTGAAATGGCATTTCCTTCGTTCTGCATGGCGAAAATTTCAAATGATACCACTACGTTTGAAGCTGATCCCACTATGCTCCCACAACAACTGCTAATTCCTGCCATGACCGTTGTCGAAATCCAACACGTCTGCATTCAATAGAGGCTAGTAGGCTGTTTTGAATTTTTAAATTACCCACGACGTACGACTCGATAGAGCACATTTTCAAGATATCTATTCACCTGACTTTTTAAACTATTAAGTTTATAATTATTTAAATTCAAATTTGGTTCTAATTCAAATAATTCAATTCAAATTTGATCCATGTCGAAACAGCTCAATTTTCCCCGAATGACTGCAACAATTTGCGGACTCGTTCATGAGTGGGGGTGTTCCCCACCCCCTTCAGCGCCGCCCCTGCTTTCGTGATATATATGTTTTAGCAATCATCATGCAGGATGGCAAAGAGAATATTAAAATATAGCCGAAAACTATAGAATATTAAAATGTTCATTTTCATGCATGTCTATACCGTTGTCCTCTGTATACATGCAGATTGCATATAAAGACAACATATTTAAGCCTCTCTCTCACATTGCGAATAAATTTTGACGCAGCCTGTATATATATGACGTTATAGATTGATAATTTACATATCCTTCCTTCTTGTAAGAATTCAAATTCTCGTGCTCCTCGTTTCTTTTCTAAGTAGGTAGGTGAAATTCAATTTGTTCGTTATTAATGACCTTTGGGCATTCATTTTCAACTCAAACTGCATACATCGAATAATTTTCATTTTGTTTCCGTTACAAATTATTACCTGCACAATATTTTGTATGCAGTATTTGTTAATTGACATCAGTTATGTTGTGTATCCAACAAAATAATATAGACAGAGCGTGAACTGCCCAAAAATACAAAATTAGCTTTGGTTTATAATTCGTATTTTATACCGAGCTTTATTGAAAATTCAATTCAAATGCGGAGCTGGAACGGAATAATATATGGCATGCAGAACTATGATGTATTTTTACCGCTCTGAGACAGACTGAGTTGCAAAGCCGCGACATAAATCATAAGCCGCTCATTAAGAATCCTGTATCTTAAAAGGCAATTGGAGTGCATGCAGCAGTCAGCTAGTCTAACGTGAAAACATTCTATTTTGTTTTCGAGGAATACAAATTTGTTCCAAATAAGCATGCTGTTATGATAATATAAGACGCAACTGGCAAGTTCAGAATTGTTACTGCAATAAACTCTTTGTATAAGAAAATGCTACAGTATTCTCAGAATTACATTTTTATTCTCTTAAACTAAGGTTTTGTAAGGATTAAGTAAAGATTTTTAAGCATTTGGAGACATTATTAAGTGGCAAAGCTAGCCAATGGCAATGCAACAGGTCATGCTATACGCAAAATTTCGATGTGATTTGCAAATGTTTATAACTATTATATAATTATCAGCATGCTTCGCCACTTAGAATAGATTGATTTAATTTATTCACTGCATGCATGTGTATTATAAGTTGAAGAGCTATGTGGTTAAAAGGACATCGGCAAACAAATTTAATTTGATCAGTTAGAAAGAGGGAAAAAACACGAGAATTAGGGAATTCTTTCTAGAAAGAAAGGCGTGTAAATGAACTGAATCTATACATATTACTTAATATCAAGGCATGCAGGGTGAACACATGCTTACACAGTACTATATTTAGTCACATACATTTTTAAGCTGGCAGACATATATAATTATTCAACAAGTCAATTTGTACATTTTGAAGAGTAATGATACATTATAATAGCCATAACATAACTGTTAGTTGCCCATGAACTAATTGAACTTATATGGTGGCCAATATTGTTACTGAATTAAATCAGTCATATTTTGTGTTCAACAAAATCATAAAGGCCCCGCCACAATTCGACACTATATGCATATAATTATTGTAGAACGTACTGTTCAACAATACAATTATATTCAAATAACTTTAATTGTTAATTGTCATGTTACTGATCTAGCGAGCTCGTAAGAATGCGGAGCTGAAACAGAATTTTTTCATCTCGAATTGATACGCAAATCGGCGCAATTGTTGTTTTTGCAAAACAACAACGTCGATTATAAAAGATGAGGACACACTTAGCTCTGGTCAAATACAGTTGAAACGTCGAGAGGAATATTAGTCAAAATCTTCATTGCAAGTAACTCGGAGGTAAATATATGAACATGAATGAATTTATTATAAAGCAGAATATATAGTGCATGCCCACAGTTAATTAATCACTCACGGTTATTAATAATAAATATATGTTTTATTATAAAAAAGTCAATATTAATACCAAATAGTCAATAAATATGGCATGCATGCACTCAGTCTGGTAAATGTGCCAAATGTGTCGTGCAATCAAACTACTTGTTATTTTGAAATTGACATTATACTTCTGCTGTTTGGATTTGATATATTAGCTATCTATAGGTTTCATAATCTGTTATACTTATTTTATCAATGTTATACTGTAATTACGGCAGACGGAAAAATTAGGGAATTTTAGCAAGAGCTATATATTCGACGTCTATCACTGCAAAAACCATGCATGCACTACGACGTCTATCACTGCAAAAACACCAACTTGAACTCGTGGATTCTTTGAATTAGTATATATATGTACATCGTATACTTTGTTAAATTGATCATTTTTTTGTAGAGATGTATTTCGGTGTCATTGCAAGTTTATCATTGATCGTTCTTGCACAAGCAGTGAATGCACGTACCAATCTGTATCAATATACTAGACAATGCAAGCAGAATACAGAACTTTGTATTGATTTGAAGTGCAGTGCAACTCAGGGGTACGCAGCCCGTGTACCATTCAGCTATCATTATTTGTGCTGTAACGGTAAGATGTGTTCAGTATAACTTTAATAGTAAAGCTAAAATGATAGACGAATCGTATTAAAAAGTAAAATTAAAAGCTATTTATTCACTATTATAGCCGTATGCATATACAGTCACACTCACAGAGTGTACCCAAATAAGTATTCTATAAAGTATTCTATATTATAAGAACACTTTGGAAATTTGAACTGACAGTTTATTATCGTCTAATCAACCGGACTGATTTTAAAATTACTAAAATTTTACTCTTCGTGCTTAGTTAACGGTAAATTCTACAGTTATGACTTATGTGAGGAACACAGGCACTCGCTCGCTTTCGATGAATATTATGCACAAGTCACAAAATAACTTAGAAATACATGCATGCACGCAGCAATTCCTCGCATTTTAAAATCAAGCAACTATGTCTATGTGTTTCCCAAACATTTCTACATTCAATTTAGCCTCGAATTGTTCTCAATTTAGCTTCGTATATCGTATATTTGCTCTCTTTTTATTTTAAACATATATTTTTGAAATATAATTCAAATTGGTTAATTTAATAAATCTGTATACGTTGTATACTATGTTAATTTATCTGGGAAACATTCATGCAGTAAGCAAAAAAATTAAACCAGCTCATACATTACCAATTAAAATTAAAGCAAAGTTGCGTTATATATTTAACAGTTATTCTACGAACTCGAATCGAATATGAGCTGATAGCCCCCCTGAGCCCATGACCTTTTCTACACCTCTCCTTTTTAATAATTTTTTTTTTTGTTCTGTTGTAGGAAAAGTTTTTGACCAAAAGAAATACGTCTGTGTTCGTTACTTATTTCAGTCAACGCCTGTGGTGGAAAGGTGTGATCCATGTACCCAGTTTAAATGTGGTGATGGCCAATGTACGTTGAAACAATGGAAATGCAATAACGTGAAAGACTGCATCGATGGAAGTGATGAGGTTGTTATTCAGTAATTTCTTATTAACCGAACGCGAGGTCTGTAGTCTGTACAGAGAAATATCGGACCAATGTCAGTGTACCATTTTAAGGGTCCAACATTTTTTCCGGACAAACCAAATTTTTCCGAAATCTAACAAAAATTTTCGAAACACACTTAACCACAAAATTTACAGAATTTGTCCCATGATTGCAATAGGTTCCCAGGTCCTTTATCTCAATTTTTCATACCAAATTTCGGTACTTAGCACAAAAAAATTACATTAACAGCTATTAGTTCTGCAAAACGTAAAGGGGGGGCATGATTTCGATTTTATTTCCAAGTGTGGGGGGGGCACTGGGGGGCACTGCCCCACCGAGTGGGGAGGCAATTCCCCCCCCCCCCCCCAGCTACGGGCCTGCATGGTTTGTACAAAAACACCGAGGTCTGACATTTCTCTGTATATACCGAGCAAGCGAGGTTAATAAAAAGTTTATTAGGGCATTTATAGGCATTTATACTTGGTTTTAATTAAGAGGAGATTTATTTCAAGAAGAGATGCCTCTGCATGCATGCATCGATCGCGAGTGGCTGCTGGATCATAACTTGTACATAGCTTACATTTTTATCATTCTTATCCCTTTATATTATATTATCTTGAAATCCGAACAATTCAGGTTATCTTATGGTATCTAATTAATATTAATTTATAAATACCATTTGTCTCATTAGGTTGGCTGCGGTGGATGCTCTAGCGGGCAGTTCTACTGCAGACGTGCACATCAATGTATCCGGGCTGATCGTGTTTGCGACAAGGTTAATGACTGTCGGGACGGATCGGACGAAATTAACTGTCCAAATGAGAAAGGTTCCAGATGCGGAGTTGGCAGTTATCGTTGCAAAAACAACCAGTAATGTCAATTTAGTAATAGCGATAGTGAATGAAATGTGCTTGCAGTCATATGGCACTGGTCAAATATTAATCGTTAGCCCATATATATACTGGTAGATTTATTTTCTACTATTTATATTTTTTGTTTTCACAAACCATTCTGAAGATTATAAAATCGTGTCGTTGCAAAATCAAAGTAAATCTTTTTTGCATGACACAAAGCTTGCATGACATAAAACTCGAAAACCCCCAACAATTTTTGCGGCAGAAAGTTGAATTCTGGAGCGTAGAAGTCCTACACTTCTCATGGGGCGAAATAAAAAGAAATATATCCGCATTCAAGGTTTTTAAAAGAAAAATTTAAAACTGCAAATAAAGAGGCAGAATAATGGTTTGGTTGGGTGGGAGATAAGCCAGACAAACTCAATTTTGGGCAACGGAGTGTTCCGCGGACATTTTCCCCACTAGAAGATTTTGAATAAATCACGTAACGGGGAATCATAAATATATTCAATGCACAATAACTTTAAATTTCCATTTCAAGCATGCAGCGAAGAATATTATGTAGCATGTAAAGAAAGTAAAAAGGTCTGCTATAGCTGCACGAGGGTCGTTTCCTAGAAAATTTCTGTATTTTCGCTGTTTATTGGCAATATTTCTGGTATTTTCTGGAACGTCCACAGGGAAAACGATGGGCTTATTTTAAGGCTATATGTTTTATATTCTTGTTAACTTGGTTACTGCTCATTTGCGTTTTAAGAACTGCGCAAATGGATTTGGAACTGCACTTTTTGTGCAGAACTGCACCCTGTCCGCATTCTTTGCGCTATTGTCTAAAAATAGTATTTTGTATTCCATACCACACGTACCACACCAATTTTAAAACCTTTGTGTATTCTGTTGAGCAGTAAACCGAAAAAGTTTCATTTAACCCAAAAAAATTGAAAAGTTCGCTCTCCGAAATTCCGTGTCATTCTCCAAGCCTTGGTTAATAGGCTAAGCGTCACTAACTGAATACTATATTTCCAGGTGTATTCCTTGGAATAGAGCTTGTGATGGCCGCCGTGATTGCAGAGATGGTTCTGATGAGGCTGGTTATTGCGGATACTACAGTGCGAAATCCGGGAAAAAACGAGATGAAATCTCCAGTTTTTCGGATGGAGGTGCTGGAGGAGCTGTTGATGTGGCAAAGGGAACTGTTGTTAATTGAGCGCTTTATGATTTTTGAATTGAGGATTATATAGATTTGCACACAATATATTGTAGTAATTCTGTCAAATGTTTTAGCTCTTTTCCGTCTATATAGTGTCTCTTCCATTTCCAGTTTAAAACGCTTGTTTTAATTCTACATGCTAGGGCAGTGCAGTAAATTGTTTATTCACACAAAATGCTTATAAAACATATCAAAATACTTAGCTTTAAGAGGGAATGGCAAAGCTGTAAAATTTTCGCCTGACTTCGTATGCAAAATTTACATATTCTGTTGCGCTTCGCTCAGTGTTAATTGTTAAATCATTTCACACAAAATATGCATTACGACACATTAGCTAATAAAGATGTTGGAAACTAACATTTGAGTTTCTGAGCTATATTTTTGCTTGCATGATGCTAAACAATAGTTTAAAGTATGCCGTCTGGTGTTTCCAGTTTACATTAAACATAAAAAATGGTGATCGAGATAATCAAGCTAGGAAAATATCGGCTGTAAGCCTGCACTGTTTATTAATTGTCAGGCATCTGTCCGATATCGTAAAAACACAGGGCTTGCCCAAGCGGGAAACGTTTTAGTGATAGGAAGGAAATTACACGTACATGTGCAAGCATGCAGATACAATTCAACCGTCTACAAATTGTAGACGGTTGAATAGTATCTGCTTCTGTCAAATATTGCTTGACATGAAGAAGGAAAATCTACTCTGAGTTTCAAGTTGGTGAATTCAAACACAAGAACGGCTGTTGCAATCTAAATTGGAGTCAAAATTGGAGCATTAATTGTCAGAAATTTAGGATCGCTTTTCACCGCCAACTGAAAATTTAAGTAATTTTCAGTATTGTGTTGTATAATTTCAATTGAGCTCTTTCTATACAAGTTCAGGGACTTTATTAGCTGTCCGCTGGTAACCGTTGAGTCGAATAGAAAGCACAAATAACACGTACTACCATAAGATTTGAAATGATTGAAGGGAAAAATACGCGTATAATGATGACGGGAAAGAGTTAAATATATAACATGAGGTATACGAGAACAATATAATGTTAGATCATATATTGCTATATGTATTTGCACTGGATAGATAATGTAGAATCCGTCCGTAGATCGAGTATTGAGCGTCACAGTTGCATGATTTGACTAGCACTTACATTGATAAGTGGAGAGGAGACGGCAAGCACAATTGAACCCTGCACATGCTATTAACAATTCACTAACAGCAAATTGAGGCAAAGTTGCGAATTCGTGTAATCGCTAATTCATCACCAATAAATTTTTCACTTAATTCCTTGTATTAACTTTGTTCATACTGTCAGTTTCGCGCCAGAAAACAGGTACCGCGCAGCAATTTTACTATATATAATGGGGGTCTGATGATGTAATGAAGTAATTAGTAAGACTCCCGAGGGGTCTGGGGCATGCCCCGGCCCACAAAAACATTGAAAATTACAAGCCCGGAACGTGCATTTCCAGCAATTTCGCAAAAATTTTGTTTGAAGTAACCATGTGTGTATTGCCTCATGAGAGGCAGATATTTTGTGTGAAATACGTGTCTAACTGAAAAAATTAATGAAGATTCTGGCCGATGATTATCGTGTTGTAAAAGAACAATCACATAAACATGCAACGATCAAGTCAAGGGTTACCCTACTTTGAAAATCAAGTAAGCATAAAAAACAGTTTAATTAAAAACTAACTGATGTGTTTCACCTTTCAAAACTGATCATTTTCGTTAAGCCAATGGCAGTGACGTGTTAGGTAAAAACAAAGAAATACATGTGATGTTACTTTGAGTGTATATCTACACCGGGCAAGCTTGAAAAATATTCCTGTCCACGGTGGGAATCGAACCTACGACCTTTGGAATACTAGCCCAATGCTCTGCCAACTCATGAGCTACGCGGTCAGGTTGGTTTGAACAGTATGTGATATTTCGGAACAGAATCTAGCAGTTCCTTCGATATCAATGTAATCTACTATAATCATGATTTATTCTGTGTTGGTGTAATGTACTCAGGTGAATATGATGCTTGTGATGTTACTCTGAGTGTATATCCACACCGGGCAAGCTTGAAACATATGCCTGTCCACGGTGGGAATCGAACCTACTACCTTTGGAATGCTAGCCCAATGCTCTGCCAACTCATGAGCTACGCGGTCAGATCGGTTCGAGTATGTGATATTTCGGAACACAATCTAGTTCTTTCGATACCAATGTAGTCTAACAATCATGATTTTTCTGTGTTGCTGTGATGTACTCAGGTGAATATGATGCTTGTGATGTTATCTGAGTGTGTATCCACACCGAGCAAGCCTGAAATATATGCCTGTCCACGGTGGGAATCGAACCTACGACATTTGGAATACTAGCCCAATGCTCTACCAACTGAGCTACGCGGTCACGTTGGTTCGAGTATGTGATATTTCGGAACAGAATCTAGTTCGATATCAAGGTGGAATGTAATCTAACAATCATGATTTTTCTGTGTTGGTGTAGTGTATACTCATGTGAACACGATGTTTGTGATGTTACTCTGAGTGTATATCCACACCGGGCAAGCTTGAAAAATATGCCTGGCCACGGTGGGAATCGAACCTACCACCTTTGGAACACTGGAACACTAGCCCAATGCTCTGCCAACTGAGCTACGCGGCCAAGTCTGTTCGAGTATGTGATATTTCGGAACAGAATCTAGTTCCTTTGATATCAATGTAATCTAATAATCATGATTTTTCTGTGTTGGTGTAGTGACTGTAATGTACTCAGATGAATACGATGCTTGTGATGTTTTTCATATTTTTCAAGCTTGCCCTGTGTGGATATCCACTCAGAGTAACATCAAGTAACATCACAAACATCATATTCACCTGAGTACATTACACCAACACAGAAAAAGTCAAAGAAATACATTTCATCCTTGCATGTAATGATATAGTATAACCAGCTCTTAGAGTATTTATTATAGTACCAATGTTCGATCCCATTCTCACACCAAACACGAAAGGGCACATGCGTTCATTATCATGAAAATTATTAGGGGGAGGGGCGGTCTCTAGGAAAGTAGAAACTCTCTACTTTTGCGAGAATATCTACATTATTGTTGTCTGACATTGTTTCAAATTGAATGATCTGGGTTTATTGGCATTGGAACACATAACGTTGTAGGTTTGTGATCCGCTTTATATTGATGAAACCAAAATATGTACGATGAAAAGAAAAAAAATAAAGTATAAACCCACCGGATAATACCTACATAATTATTGACTTTCCAAAAGCTCACTCTTGGGTGGTTTGATTGAAAGCTCATGGAGTAAAATGAAGAGTTTTTCGTCCGTTCACAAAATAAAATAAACCTTATATAGTAAACAACTAATTGAGCATTTTTATTACGACAACTAATCAAAATTCTAGCTAAATATGCTTACAAACACAATCTTTGATTTCAATTCATGTGAGTAACGCACGTATTTTGTCAAAAAGGGTAACCTTCTGTCCCTCGTGGTGCCCTGCAGTGTCTCGGCAACCAGGGACTTAATTTGCCACAAAATGGGACCATACCACTGATCTGCTCAGTAGACCAAACAGAAGACTGACTTTAATATTGGATTTAATTAATGGCTTATGATTATGGTCCATGCATGATTCCTGGAATCTGGATAGTGCGCTTACGAGAGGCATTCACCCCCTGAAAATATTTAAAATAGCGGACGTTCAGGGGGGTGAATGCCTCTCGTAAGTACATTGGCTAGGCGGCGGTTGCGCTCTTTTTGGCTGAGTCGAACGCACCACGGCACCCACGAACCTTGAACTAGCGCACGCGTTGCGCAAATACACCCTTTCGATGATGACGTCACACATACTTTTTGGTCTTGGAGCCTCGCTCCCATTTGAGTAAATTACGCAAGGTGATTGGCTCACGAATCATGAGTGCGAGGCTCCAAGGCCGAATGACGTAATTATCGAAAGGACGTATACTTGCCAACATGAGCTCCTCCTTTGGATTTACTATATGAGTAAATTCTTAAACACGTCCGAATTTATCATTATGATAAATTCGCGGCACATTTAATTTTGAATTTATCAATAGAGTTACAGGTAAACTACGTGAAGCGTTCCTTTTTTGAGTTTTTAAATTGATTGCAATTTTCCTCATTACTTTTGCAATTTATAAAACTCCCTTGCAAATCCCTTGAGGGAATTTGCAATGTTGCTAAAAGCCAAAAAAATTTTCCTCAGTTCCTGTTAGAAGTTCTTAACTTCCTGTTACAAGTTCCTAACTTCCTGTTCTGTTCTGCGTGTTGCAATTGGCTAACAAAAATAATCGACCAATAACAACGCTCAGAACAGAACAGGAAGTTAAGAAATTAAAACAGGAAGTTAGGAAAATTTAAAATGAAGTTTGGAATATTGCAACAGCCGATAGGAACATTGCAAATTCCCTCAAGGGATTTGCAAAGAGTTTTTCAAATTTGCAAAGCTAATGAGCAAAATTCCAAATGAGTTACGAAGTCAAAAGAGGAACGCTTCACGTAGTTTAACTGTAATCATAAAACCACAAGCATTAGACAAGACTTTTTGGTCGCGGGAGGAGATTTTCAAGATTTTCAAAAAGAAAGTTTAAAAAAGTTTTAAAAAAGTTTTTAAAAAGTTTTAAAAAGAAAAAAAAAGAATTTAGATTTTCAAAAAAGTTTAAAAAGTTAGATTAGGGTTAGGATTAGGAGTTAGTGGTTAGTGGTTAGCCGGGTTGGGGTTAGGGTTAGTGTTAGGGGTTAGATGTCGCGAATTTCTCATTATGATAAATTCAAAATGTGCCGTGAATTTATCATAATAGAGACCTTAAGATTGACGTTTACGGCAAACGTCAAACCGCTAGCGAAGTTTTTGATTTTACAGCTCTATTATTGTAGCTTTTACACCAGTTTTGAAATATGTTAAACTGATTAAACTTCTGCTCTTTAGCAATGATTTAAGAAAGAAAATTAACCACTAGTCATGCCATTCACCAAAGCAGTAAATTAAGATTTGGCGTTTGAAGTTGACGTTTGACGTATAAATTTCATGCTTTAACGACTACAAGCCCTCGTAGCAGTTCAAGCATGAAATCTATACGCCAAACGCCAACTTCAAAGGTTAGATGGAAAACACGGAGTCGGAGTTCCGGAGTCGGAGCCCCGGAGTCGGAGTCCCGGAGTCGGAGTCCCGGAGTCTGACGTCATAAAAATATGGAAAACACGGAGTCATATGGAAAACACGGAGTCTGACGTCATAAAAATATGGAAAACACGGAGTCATATGGAAAACACGGAGTCTGACGTCAGAGAAAAATATGGAAAACACGGAGTCATATGGAAAACACGGAGTCGGACGTCATAAAAATATGGAAAACACGGAGTCATATGGAAAACACGGAGTCTGACGTCATAAAAATATGGAAAACACGGAGTCATATGGAAAACACGGAGTCTGACGTCAGAGAAAAATATGGAAAACACGGAGTCTGACGTATTGTCAGCGTGAAATATGGAAAATAGTAATTAAATAATATATCATTTATGCGAATATAAACAAACGGACGAATTTATAATATAACGAATTGGAAATTTTCTGCACTAATTCTGGTATTTCTCTAAAATGTCGTGAAAATATGGATTGTTTATTTTTAAATACAATCAAGCAAATAATATTGTTTCTCTTGTCGTGTGACTTGTTCAGTTGTACAATATTTGAAGTGATTTTAATGCGGATTTTGTTCACCTCGCATTGGTATGTTGATAAAAATATAGTTTATATACTTAATACTGCTAGAATATTTCATAGTCGATTTACATGTAATATTTATAACACACAAAATCTTGACACAAAACAGATATGCTACTTGGAAACAGCGTGCAATATTGTTATTTACTAATAAATAGATGCAGCCAGCCAATACACAAATCCGTGCAGTATATTAATGGCATTAAAAAAGTTTTCAGGTGTCCAAAAAAAATACCTGCACTATAGTGGTAAGTCCATACCAAGTTAATATATCTAACATATAAGTTTTAGGTTTTTATATATCAAGCCATTGATATTTGAGTGATCAAGATAGGTATTTATAACTGACCATTTGTTCCAGGCTTAATTGCATGGTACCATTGTAAAATCGTCTGGCGTTAGGCAGAGTAAAATATAAAGTAGGGTACATCTGGGCACATATATTGCCACTAATGGCACTTATAATTGACGGGTTAATATAGAAATTTTGTATTTCATAAAGTATTACAATGCTTTTGAAAGGGATAATTTTAA